AATAATAATACTAATACTAATAATAACACTAATACTAATACTATTGATAATAATAATAATAAATAAATAATAATAATAGTAGTGATAAAATGATAATGATAATAACAACAATAATACTAATAAATATTACCAAAATCAATAATAACAATGGCATTTTTTTTTTTTCCTAACGATACTTTATACTTTAGATAATTTTTAGGTATTTTGGTTTTATAACGAAGCATCCATTATTGCCACGTTTTGCATGTCATGTTTTCTTATCGAATGTTTCAACACAACCAATTGTTGAATCTATCGGGTAATAAATACATTATTTGATCTTTTCTCTTCCTTCTGCTAATCTAATATTCTTTCCGAAAATTCTAACCGGATCAAGTTAGAAAAAGAAAGAATGACTGTATTTTTTTTCTTTTTTCATCCGGCTTTCCTTTCAATATTTTTTGTTTTTCTTTTGTCTTCATTATTTTTTTTAAATTGTATTTTTATTATTCTCTAATAAATTATTAGATCTAAATTAATAGTTCCAAATAGATTATTCGATTAATATTTGCATAAAATTTTGTTTATAATTTTAGGCTAATTCTTTAAAAACTATTTTTTTTCTTTTCCACATAAATTTTTAAATCTTATTCATTAGCAAAAATTTGTTACATTTATTAATTTTGAAAAGCTTATTTTTTTTTCTAGCCATTTAGCACAAAAAAATTTAAGAGAATGGACAAATTGAATATGTAATAATTTGATTTTTTTTTTTTAATTTTCAGACGTGCTTTTAAACGTTCATACGATGAATATATGGCATTTGCACATCCAACGGAAGATATTTATCTTGAATAATTATGGATTAAATTTAATCGATTCAATAATTGTATATTATTTGGAAAGAAATATTTCAATTTATTTTTAAACAGACATACTGTATAACATGTTAGTTTTGGAAGGAAAACAATAACAAAATTTCTATGATTGAATTAATTTTATTACACATTTAAATTATGAATTGTACATATTGCCATAACTTTATTTTTGTTTCTTGAATTCAAAACGTTAATTAAATTGATTAAATTAAAAAATACTTTCGATTATCAGAAAATTTTCTCTGAAAAAATTTTTGTTTTTTTTTTTCTTTCTTTCATCATTTTCTGCTTAAAATTCACTTACAAATTTAAGTGTAAATTACAGAATTTTTTACAGACTTTACAAATTACAGAAAAGAAAAGTACAAATTTAAAAAGTTTTAGAAAAAATTTTGTATAATTCAAATGTTTCAAAATTAAAATTCACATATTTCATAGATTATTTGTACAGCTAAATTGAAAACAAATATTTGACTTTCTTTTAATGTAAATTGCTTGGTGATAAAAAATCCTATGCTATTAATGTTAGCCTAAATTACACATACCTAAAATGAATGCATCACTAATACTTTTTGATTATTTGCAAAAAGAAACAAAGAAAAAAAAAGCAAGAATTTAGATCTAAAGTTTTCAAATTAGTTTTCCAAGATTTTGCACATAATTACTTATATAAATTAATCGTATCATTCCAAATATTTCAATTAAATTTCATATTTTCTTAATTGTTGTTTAATTAATTAATCGTATCATTCCAAATATTTCAATCAAATTTCATATTTTTTTTATCAGCATTATCACCATTCATCTATTTAATATTTTCATTTATCATTTTCTCATTTATTGAATTAAATTAATTTGCAACAATAAATTTGCTTTTTCTTGTTTGTTAGTAAAAAAAATTTTTTTTTTTTGTTTATTTTCTTTTACAAATAAAAAAGTTCAGTATTGACTTCTATTATCATTTTTTCTTTCTTTTTTTTTTCCATATATAAAATATAATTATAGAAATAATTTCCTATAATATTCTTTCCAAATTATTTATCTTACAATTTTTTCTTACCCACTTAAATGTAGCAAAATTAATCAATTAATTAATTAATCAAATAAATGGACAAGTAAACAATTTCTTCATTAAATGGTAAATGATGGAAGTATATATTATTTGATAAGGTTTATTTCTAATTACCTTACATATTCATTTACAGTATGAATTAAAAATTCATTTGCAAAATTTTCGTTGTATTTGATATGAGCGATAATAACAACGTGATAATGATAATAACGATGATGATGATGATGATGATGATTGTGATGATGGCGATAATAATGATGATGACGATGATGAACCACATAAAATAAGATATTGTGCGATAAAATAAGTTGATAAGATTAATTTCTCAGCAACTGGTACAGCAATTCCAACATGATGAATAATTAATGCACTATCAGATAGGCAAAATAGCACGAAACCAAGAAATCGAAGTAAATTATTCTGAAAGAAAAAAGAAAAAACAAAAACTAATTTCATTGCTAAAAAATATTAATTTATGATTGTTAAATAATAAAAGATAAATGATCGTTAATTATTCAACAAATTAAATAAATATTTCATATAAACAAAAAAAAAAAAGAAAATGCTAATTTTTCTTTTATTTTCTAATTTCTCATTTAAAAAAAATAAACATACATTTCGATAGTTAATTTCTTTAATAAATTAAATAAATATTTCTTATAAACAAAGGAAAAAAAGAATCTCTATTTTTAATTTTCTAATTTTTCACTTTAAAAAAGTTTTTTTTTATGAACAAAGAAAAAAGAATTTTCTAATTTTCAATTTTCTAATTTTTTATTTCAAAAAAGTTTTTTTTTTCTAAATTCAAAAATTATATTTACTAACAAATTGTCGTGGATAATCATACGGACCACCGTGAATGTATAAAGAACCACTGAATACGACACACATCGATAATAGAAATGAATAAATAATCATAATTGTTGATGTAATTGGATGTACAATTAATAGCAATGCTAAGATTGCATAAAGTATCACGAAACTTATCAATATCATGATAAATAATAATGGGATACAAAGATTATCAATACGATAAGTAAATGTAAGCTGAAATTAACTTCATTTAGTAAATTTGAATTAAAATATGAAATTAATAAGTAAATGTGAATTGAAACAAAAGCATATAAATAAAGTTGGAGTGGAATTTTTTTTTTTGAAACAAAAGCCTGTAAGGAAATTAGAATTAAAATAGGAAATTAATGAGTAAATGTGAAATAAATATGAAATTTAGGAATAAAATTTAAACTTGAAAGACAAAATTTATATCTTTTAAAGTTAGCATCTTCGTATTATTATTATTATTAATGATTAGATTTCATTATTATTATTGATAATGATTAAAAAATATAAAAAATTATCACAGAAATATTCTTTTCCCAAATCTAGGAGTGAAAAATATCCTTGTGATAATTTTCCAAACATAATCAATTAAAAATACTAATGCCTGAATTATATACTAAGCTAATTGATTTCTTCATATTATACTATTCATTGGTGATAAAATTGATAAAATTACAAGTTAGTATTCTCGTTTTATTTCCTTAATTACATACTATGGTAATTGATTTGTTCATTTTGTATTATTCATTGGTGATAAAATTGATAAAATTACAAGTTAGTATTCCCGTTTTATCTCCTTAATTACATACTATGGTT